CCAAGTCCAACTACTCAATCATCCTTTTACAAGATTACATCTCAGACAGACATTTAAAATTTTAAAAGACAAATCAAAATTTCATTATGTTTAAAGACAACTAGATAAATTAGGTTTAGGTCCCATTCAAAGGAAGTGTGAAATGACTCGGATCAAAGAACTCAAATGAGCCAGATTTGTCACATGATTATGATGGCTTCTAAAGAAATATGTACACAACACAAAAATGTATCTTTATGTTCTTATAAAATGATTGAAATTATAAAAGAAATTTATGTCTGTCTGTTTACTCTTCAAATAAATGGGGAATGTGTCCATGGGACACAGATGATGCCCCCGCTATATAACGTTATAAAGGGACATATCTCAAGAACAGTAAAAGTGACACTACCCAAATTTGTACTTGATCTGAGTTTTGTGGTAATAAGCATTGTTTTTGAGTTTCATAACATTTAGTTGAGGCAAACTTGAGTTAGAGAATGGAAACCAATTTTGGGACGTACGGACGTACAGACGGAAATGAAAAATTCAGCAATTTTTCCATTTGTAAAGGGGCATAACTCTAAAACGGTAAAAGTGACGCCACCAAAATTCAAACTTGATCTGTGTTTTGTGGTAATAAGCATAGTGTATAAGTTTCATAACATTTGGTTGAGGCAAACTAAAGTTAGAGAACGGAAACGAATATCAGCAATTTTTCCCTTTGTAAAAGGGCATAACTCTAGAACGGCAAAAGTGACGCCACCAAAATTCAAACTTGATCTGTGTTTTGTGGTAATAAGCACTGTGTCTAAGTTTCATAACATTTGGTTGAGGCAAACTAAAGTTAGAGAACGGAAACGAAAAATTCAGCAACTTTTCCATTTGTAAAGGGGCATAACTTTAGAACAGTAAAAGTGATGCCACCAAAATTCAACCTTGATCTGTGTTTTGTGGTAATAAGCATAGTGCATAAGTTTCATAACATTTGGTTGAGGGAAACTAAAGTTAGAGAAAGGAAACCAATTTTGAGATATACGGACGGACGTTCAGACGGACATGGGTAAAACAATCATGAAAAATTCAAGATTATTATATTAATTGTAAAATGTGTCATCCATTTCACTAACATGCACCTTGATTCATAAGTGATCTCCATGTTTGGACAGTACATGTACTTGTACTAGGATATTTGTATTTATGCACATGTACAAAGGAGTTAGGGTCTCCCTCTTTGGACAGTACATGTATTTATACTAGGATATTTGTATTTATATACATGTACAAAGGTGTTAGGGTCTCCCTATTTGGACAGTACATGTATTTATACTAGTATATTTGTATTTATGTACATATACTTTAAGGAATTGTGGTCTCCCTCTTTGTACAGTACATGTATTTATTCTAGAATATTTGTATTTATGTACATATACTTTAAGGAATTGGGGTCTCCCTCTTTAGACAGTACATGTATTTATACTAGTATATTTGTATTTATGTACATATACTTTAAGGAATTGAGGTCTCCCTCTTTGGACAGTACATGTATTTATACTAGTATATTTGTATTTATGTACATATACTTTAAGGAATTGGGGTCTCCCTCTTTGGACAGTACATGTATTTATACTAGGATATTTATATTTATGCACATGTATAAAGGAGTTAGGGTCTCCCTCTTTGGACAGTACATGTATTTATACTAGGATATTTGTATTTATGTACATATACTTTAAGGAATAGGGGTTCCCCTCTTTGGACAGTACATGTATTTATACTAGGATATTTGTATTTATGTACATATACAAAGGATTAAGGGGTCTCCCTCTTTGGACAGTACATGTATTTATACTAGAATATTTGTATTTATGTACATATACAAAGGATTAAGGGGTCTCCCTCTTTGGACAGTACATGTATTTATACTAGAATATTTGTATTTATGTACATATACAAAGGATTAAGGGGTCTCCCTCTTTGGACAGTACATGTATTTATACTAGAATATTTGTATTTATGTACATATACAAAGGATTTAGGGGTCTCCCTCTTTGGACAGTACATGTATTTATACTAGAATATTTGTATTTATGTACATATACAAAGGATTAAGGGGTCTCCCTCTTTGGACAGTACATGTATTTATACTAGAATATTTGTATTTATGTACATATACAAAGGATTAAGGGGTCTCCCTCTTTGGACAGTACATGTATTTATACTAGGATATTTGTATTTATGTACATGTACAAAGGTGTTAGGATCTCCCTCTTTGGACAGTACATGTATTTATACTAGTATATTTGTATTTATGTACATATACTTTAAGGAATTGGGGTCTCCCTCTTTGGACAGTACATGTATTTATACTAGAATATTTGTATTTATGTACATGTACTTTAAGGAATTGGGGTCTCCCTCTTTAGACAGTACATGTATTTATACTAGTATATTTGTATTTATGTACATATACTTTAAGGATTTGAGGTCTCCCTCTTTGGACAGTACATGTATTTATACTAGGATATTTGTATTTATGTACACATACTTTAAGGAATTGGGGTCTCCCTCTTTAGACAGTACATGTACTTATACTAGTATATTTGTATTTATGTACATATACTTTAAGGAATTGGGGTCTCCCTCTTTGGACAGTACATGTATTTATACTAGGATATTTATATTTATGCACATGTATAAAGGAGTTAGGGTCTCCCTCTTTGGACAGTACATGTATTTATACTAGAATATTTGTATTTATGTACATATACAAAGGATTAAGGGGTCTCCCTCTTTGGAAAGTTCATGTATTTATACTAGGATATTTGTATTTATGTACATGTACAAAGGTGTTAGTGTCTCCCTCTTTGGACAGTACATGTATTTATACTAGGATATTTGTATTTATGTACATGTACAAAGGTGTTAGGGTCTCCCTCTTTGGACAGTACATGTATTTATACTAGAATATTTGTATTTATGTACATGTACTTTAAGGAATTGGGGTCTCCCTCTTTAGACAGTACATGTATTTATACTAGGATATTTGTATTTATGTACATGTACTTTAAGGAATTGGGGTCTCCCTCTTTAGACAGTACATGTATTTATACCAGAATATTTGTATTTATGTACATGTACTTTAAGGAATTGGGGTCTCCCTCTTTGGACAGTACATGTATTTATACTAGAATATTTGTATTTATGTACATATACAAAGGAGATCTGTGTTGGTTGTTCTCAATTCTTGTTATTCTCTTTTATGTTCTACACATGAAAGAAAAATGAAAAGTGCTATTAACTTATAAACCCTATTTTTTGTTTTTTTTAGAACATTCGGACATGTTGAGGGTGGAAGATAATGGTATACCTAAAGAAGTCATTTCTATGAAGGGTAGGACAGTGTGAACATTTAAAGCCAGAAAGAGTTACCTCCCATATCAACTTTACATGTTCTTACAGATATTAAACAATTTTACATGCATTTCTAATTAAATTTACACATAATGAATGTTTATGATCACTGACTAAACAAATATATGACTGATATTGTGCTGATTGTGTTGTAATTGTATCAAATGGCATATAAAACTGCAACATCTGGAACAAACTATGTTTGATACAAAACTAGACTAATTTAAATGTTTTTGCAGCATTTTTCCACACTTCAGTAATTTTGATGTCTTTAAACCACTCATTTAATAAAACTTTAACCCATTCTCAATTGAAAAGAATAACATCCTTTCCTATTATTTAGGCTTTGCGATTGTACATTTGATTTATCTCCCCTTTCCCATACAGGAAAAAAAAAACCAACTAAAAACTAAAAAGATTTCTTTTTAATGGAAAACAATAAATCATTTTCAAGAAGCATTACAACATAGCATAAACTTAAATGTTTGATTTGACATCTTTTGGTCCTATTATGCATGCTACATTAGTCAATAGAAAATAACAGCTTTATTTTCAAGGAAATTTTCAAAGGTTTCTATTTGAAGAAAGGTCGCTTTCAGAGGCCAAAACAGACTGATTTCAAAAGAATGTTTACAATGATGTTTCTTTGTATGTGATTTTATATTTTATATAGATATAGTAAAAAATATGCTATTAGAACAACTAAAGGACAATGTTTTATATGTTCAACAATAAATTTTACAGTGTATTAAAATATACAACAGAACGCATACATTTAAACAAAACAAACCATGGAGTTGTAATTGTATTATTTTAACCTGTTTTTCCAATTGAAACTCTTTTATTCTTTTTATTTATAGTAGTGGAACAACCATTTTGTTTCCCCCTATTTCAGGTGACATATAAAGTCTGAGTTATTTTGTTAGGTATTAAAGTTAAGTAACCTGCTGAATCCTATGTATTACAGATAATCACAATTTCCTAGATACTCATGTTAGTGTATGTTGTATAACACAAAAAGCTTTACATGCACAATCTTGCAAAAAGATGAAAACGCTTTAATCTTCCCTTTCATGCATTTTCCCCCCTTTTTTACCAATTGTTTTCTTGTTTTTTCTCAAACTGAACCCCACAAAACTTGTTTAACTTACCTGCCACAATACTGAGCCCCATGCTGCCCTTGACCTTTATACTTACCTTAGCTGCCACAATACTGAGCCCCATGCTGCCTTGACCTTTATACTTACCGTAGCTGCCACAATACTGAGCCTGATGCTGCCCTCGACCTTTATACTTACCTTAGCTGCCACAATTCTGAGCCCCATTCTGCTCTTGACCTTTATACGTACCTTAGCTGCCACAATACTGAGTCATGCTGCCCTTGACCTTTATTATATACTTACCTTAGCTGCCACTATACTGAGCCCCATGCTCCCCTTGACCTTTATACTAACCTTAGCTGCCACGATACTGAGCCTGATGCTGCCCTTGACCTTTTTTCTAACCTAAGCTGCCACAATACTGAGCCCAATGCTCCCCTTGACCTTTATACTAACCTTAGCTGCCATGATACTGAGCCTGATGCTGCCGTTGACCTTTATACTAACCTTAGCTGCCACAATACTGAGCCCCATGCTGCCTTTGACTTTGCCAAATGATATAACAGCAACTTCTGGTTCCTTAGACATCGGAGGTTTCTGGTCTGGAGGAGAACCACCATGCTGGAGTTGGTTTGGTTGGTTTGGTTGGTTTTTACGTATAGCCTGCAATTTAAAGAAGTAAAATTGAAAATCTAATATTTATGAAAAATAAAAAGGTTATATAGTTTAAAATGCTATTTTGTTTTTCAATCAAATTGTTATTGCATTAAAAGGGGGTAGGCATCTGTGTAACAAACTGAATAAATAAAGTACTGATTGATTATCATTTCACATTTGATTCAAGATCTGGAAAACCAACAATATAAAAACAAGTACAAAGAAAATAAAATGCTCCGCAGGGCGCAGCTTGATACGACCGCAGAGGTCGAACCCTGAACAGTTGGGGCAAGTATGGACACAACATTCAAGCTTGATACAGCTTTGCATTTGGATTGTGATTAAATATTTGACACAGCATAGGTTTCTGACACAGAATGAATGTGGTCTAAGAACTTAAAAATTTTAAATTGGACATTCACCTATTATGGTCCAATATCCAAAATCTAAATACATGGTTAGATTCAGCATATCAAAGAACCCCAAGAATTCAATTTTTGATGAAATCAAACAAAGTTTAATTTTGGACCCTTTTGACCTCAATGTGGACAAAGTTGAAAACGCGGCCCAAAAATCAAAAATCTAAATACATGGTTAGATTCAGCATATCAAAGAACCCCATATATTCAATTTTTGTTGAAATCAAACAAAGTTTAATTCTGGACCCCGATTTGGACCAACTTGAAAACTGGGCCCATAATCAAAAATCTAAATACATGTTTAGATTCAGCATATCAAAGAACCCTAAGAATTCAATTTTTGTTAAAATCAAACTAAGTTTAATTTTGGACCCTTTGGACCTTAATGTAGACCAATTTGAAAACGGAACCAAAAATTAAGAATCTAAATACATGGTTACATTCGGCATATCAAAGAAACCCAAGAATTCAAGAATAAAACCCCATTGAAATTGGTCAAGAAATAAGCAATTTATACGAAGTATCTTCTTTTGCACAATACTGTGCAATTAAATATTTCTTGCTATTGCGCAATACTGTACAATTGACAATTTCTTGCTATTGCGCAATATTATGCTATTGGATATTTCTTGCTATTGCGCAATACTGTGCAATTGAAGATTTCTTGCTATTGCGCAATACTGTGCAATTGAAGATTTCTTGCTATTGTGCAATACTGCGCAATTGAAAATTTCTTGCTATTGCACAATACTTATTATATAATAATTTACACATCCTGTTTGTTGTGTATCTCCTACCATATCATTATAATTTTCTTTTAAATATAAATCAGAAATAACCAACTTAAAATAGAAAATTTTAAAAGAAAAAAAAAGGAAAAAAAAAAAAATCCCCCCCCCCAAATTTTTTGAACCCCCTTATGATTCATCACCCCCAAACTCAATCCCAGCCTTCCCTTTGTGGAATGGTACCTTGCAGTACAATTTCAGAGAGATCCATACACTTGAACACAAGTTATTGTCTAGAAACTAGAAAAATGTGTTTTTTGGCCCCAAATTCCTAAACGTTTAGGGCAATTACCCCCAAACTCAAACCCAGCTTTCCCTTTGTGATATGGAACCTTGTAGTACAATTTCAGAAAGATCCATACACTTACACACAAGTTATTGTCCTGAAACTAGAAAAATGCTTGTTTTCTGCCCCTTTTTGGCCCCTAATTCCTAAAATATTGAGGCAATTACCCCCATCATCAATCCCAGCCTTCCCTTTGTGGTATGGTACCTTGCAGTACAATTTCAGAGAGATCCATACACTTGAACACAAGTTATTGTCTGGAAACTAGAAAAATGCTTATTTTTGGCCCCTTTTTGGCCCCCAATTCCTAAACATTTCAGCAATTACCCCCAAACTCAATTCCAGCTTTCTATTTGTGATATGGAACCTTGTAGTACAATTTCAGAAAGATCCATACACTTGAACACAAGTTATTGTTATGAAACTAGAAAAATGCTTGTTTTTTGCCCCTTTTTTGGCCCCTAATTCCTAAAATTTTGAGGCAATTACCCCCAAAATCAATCCCAGCATTCCTTTTGTGATATGGAACCTTGTGGTACAATGTCAGAGAGATCCATACACTAACACACAAGTTATGTCTGGAAGTTACAAAAATGCTTATTTTTGGCCCCTTTTTGGCCCCTAATTCCTTTACTGTTGGTACCATAACCCCCAAAAACAATCCCAACCTTCCTTTTGTGGTATTGAACCTTGTGGTAAAATTTCATAGAGATCCATTCACTTAAACTAAAGTTAGAGTGCGAAAACCAATGTGTCTTCGGACGACGCCGGACGACGCCAGACGACGACGACGCCAACGTCATACCAATATACGACCACAAAAATTTTTTTGCGGTCGTATAAAAAGTGTGGAAAACTGATTTGCCGGGCTGACGGATGGACAGACGGAGTGCAAACCTAAAGTCCCCTTCTACTTCGTCGATGGAGACGTGGTATGATTGCAAGTGAGACAACTATCCACTAGAGTTCAAACGAAGTGGATGCAAGCAATTATAGGCAACCATACGTTAAATGTACTGTTCTTAACATGTTCTCATAATTATAATGGATGGTTCAGTTATTTAAGTAAATGATTGTTTAATACTGTAAATTTAGAAATTATCGTGAAGTTTTTTTAATGCTGAATCGACATTTTTTCCTGAATAAAAGAAATATTATAGAATAAGAAACCATTCATTAATAACAACGTTAAAGGTCAGGTAATGTTATATGATCCATACTGTGACATGTCAGTACTGTCTTGTCTCAATATTAATAATCATTTCAACATTTATATATAAAATAATTTCAAAAGGATTTTTTCTATAATTTTCTATGGCTCATGTTGACTAATGATTAATACAAAATGATGATGCTGTTATTACTATAATAGTCTTAAAAACATCTTCTTCCTTGGTTTCTTCAAAAGATTCACTAAGAACTTTCTACTTTTAATGACATTTTATTACTAAATATTCATAACATTGCTGGAATAATCTTATTTAGAGCTACTATGCAAATTCTACATCTAATAGATTCTGCTTCTTATTTCTTTTATATGAATAAATAAAATGCTCCGCAGGGCGCAGCTTGATATGACCGCAGAGGTCGAACCCTGAACAGTTGGGGCAAGTATGGATACAACATTCAAGCTTGATACAGCTTTGCATTTGGATTGTGATTAAATATTTGACACAGCATAGGTTTCTGACACAGAATGAATGTGGTCTAAGAACTTAAAAATTTTAAATTGGACATTCACCTATTATGGTCCAATATCCAAAATCTAAATACATGGTTAGATTCAGCATATCAAAGAACCCCAAGAATTCAATTTTTGATGAAATCAAACAAAGTTTAATTTTGGACCCTTTTGACCTCAATGTGGACAAAGATGATAACGGGGCCCAAAAATCAAAAATCTAAATACATGGTTAGATTCAGCATATCAAAGAACCCCATATATTCAATTTTTGTTGAAATCAAACAAAGTTTAATTTTGGACCCCGATTTGGACCAACTTGAAAACTGGGCCCATAATCAAAAATCTAAATACATGTTTAGATTCAGCATATCAAAGAACCCTAAGAATTCAATTTTTGTTAAAATAAAACTAAGTTTAATTTTGGACCCTTTGGACATTAATGTAGACCAATTTGAAAATGGAACCAAAAATTAAGAATCTAAAAAAATTCTAAATACACGGTTAGATTCGGCATATCAAAGAACCCCAATAATTCAATTTTTGATGAAATCAAACAAAGTTTAATTTTGGACCCTTTGGACCTCAATGTGGACCAATTTAAAAACGGGGCCCAAAATCCAAAAACTAAATACACGGTTAGATTCAGCATATTAAAGAACCCCAAAAATTCAAGAATAAAACCCCATTGAAATTGGTCAAGAAATAAGCAATTTATACGAAGTATCTTCTTTTGCACAATACTGTGCAATTAAATATTTCTTGCTATTGTGCAATACTGTACAATTGACAATTTCTTGCTATTGCGCAATATTGTGCTATTTGATATTTCTTGCTATTGTGCAATACTGTGCAATTGAAGATTTCTTGCTATTGCGCAATACTGTGCAATTGAAGATTTCTTGCTATTGTGCAATACTGTACAATTGAAAATTTCTTGCTATTGCACAATACTTATTATATAATAATTTACACATCCTGTTTGGTGTGTATCTCCTACCATATCATTATTATTTGCTTTTAAATATAAATCAGAAATAACCAACTTAAAATGGAAAATTTTAAAAGAAAAAAAAAAAGGAAAAAAAAAAAATCCCCCCCCCCAATTTTTTTAACCCCCTTATGATTCATCACCCCCAAACTTAATCCCAGCCTTCCCTTTGTGGTATGGTACCTTGCAGTACAATTTCAGAGAGATCCATACACTTGAACACAAGTTATTGTCTGGAAACTAGGAAAATGCTTATTTTTGGCCCCTTTTTGGCCCCAAATTCCTAAACGTTTAGGGCAATTACCCCCAAACTCAAACCCAGCTTTCCCTTTGTGATATGGAACCTTGTAGTACAATTTCAGAAAGATCCATACACTTACACACAAGTTATTGTCCTGAAACTAGAAAAATGCTTGTTTTTTGCCCCTTTTTGGCCCCTAATTCCTAAAATATTAAGGCAATTACCCCCATCATCAATCCCAGCATTCCCTTTGTGGTATGGTACGTTGCAGTACAATTTCAGAGAGATCCATACTCTTGAACACAAGTTATTGTCTGGAAACTAGAAAAATGCTTATTTTTGGCCCTTTTTTGGCCCCCAATTCCTAAACATTTCGGCAATTACCCCCAAACTCAATTCCAGCTTTCCCTTTGTGATATGGAACCTTGTAGTACAATTTCAGAAAGATCCATACACTTACACACAAGTTATTGTCATGAAACTAGAAAAATGCTTGTTTTTTGCCCCTTTTTTGGCCCCTAATTCCTAAAATTTTGAGGCAATTACCCCCAAAATCAATCCCAGCATTCCTTTTGTGATATGGAACCTTGTGGTACAATG